GCCTATCCGTAGCAATAGACCAGATCAGCCTGACCGAGTGTTCCCCGTCCTACCTGCCGACCGACCCCCCCTGACAGCTACTTAGATACTAACGCGTAATATATCGTACGGGCTTATTACGAAGTAAGGGTATAAGCTAACTAAGACCCTTATAAGTTCTTAGCTTACCTTAACTAGTATTACGCGGACCCGAACTAGAGCGCACGAGCCGCGGAGACCTTATGTAACCTTAGGTAAAGCGAGATATAGTCTTTCGCGGCCTTCTTACCTAAGTTCGAGTATATCCTAACAGAAGCTAGCGGCGGCCTCTAGACTAGTAGCGCCCGCCTCGCCTTCCTATCGGGTGCGATAAGTTAGCGACTCCGTATGGCACTCGTCCCCGTAGACCTCCTTAATAACTATAGCGTATAAGTTACTAGGGTATAAGGGGTTATATAGAAGCTCGAGAGTATTAATAAGGGAGCGAGGATATAGTTACCCTATAAGAGGGCCGTACTTAAGACGAACTATATATACTCTCTTAAGTATAGCGATAACGACGTCTAAATAAGTAGCGTTAACTGCTTATTATAGCGAGGTAGCCGCGCCTCTAAAGGTCGGTCGCGGAAGCTAATTATATACTATGTGATGTGATGTGAGGGGCTATTATATATATTTTTAAACTCTAAGGAATATCCTTTTTAACGGTATTATTAGCTTTAAATTTGATTATTTTTTATAATATTAAGGGCGTCTTGAAGTTAGAGGGCGTGCCACTTATTCTAGGTAGGCGGGGCACCCGTTCGCAGACTTTTAAGACCTTAGTTTACATACACGTGTGGAGTCACTAAGATACCACAATAGAGAGTTGCTCAGTCTCATTGGCTGCCTGCCTGTCCGAGTCCAAAAAGCGGTGTACAATTATGATTATAAATACGATAGTTGAACCTCATTCATTGGTTCGGAAATAAGGCATTCTCACACAAGAGCATTAGGCCGATAAAGCCGGCTTATTTCAATGGCTTGCTGTCGTAGGACTTTTTTCGCTCAATCTTTCTAAGGAAACACAGTTCCAATCTACAGCGACTACCACGACTCGTTGTCGCTTAACTCACGACTCATCTACATACTCGTGATCATGCTGACGGTCCACCATCTACAACGAGGCCAATCCGAGCGCATCGTGTGGCTTTGCGAGGAGCTCAACATCCCATATGAGCTCAAGCTATATCAGCGGGATTCTAAAACTTTTTTAAGCCCTCCTGAATTACAGGCACTGTACGCATCATTTGACCCTCGACTAGGCCGTCGGCCCTGTTCAGAGCTAAATTAGATAGGCATCCATCCAAGGCAGCGCCTATTATCCAGGACGGTGGCATCACGCTCGCCGAGTCAGGCGCCATCTTCGAATACATACTCACCAAATATGGAGACGGAAAGCTCTCAATTTCGCCCTCGGCCGACAACTATGCCAACTATCTTTACTTTCTGCATTTCACAAATGGCACATTCCAACCCGTCCTTCTACGCGCATCATTGGTATCTAGAAACGGCTTATCACCGGATAACATCAGCACGCAGATGGTCATAAATGGGATGAACAAGTCCTTGAAAATCCTTGATAGCTGCCTGAGCACAAACCCGTGGCTTGCGGGTAACGACTTTACAGCAGCAGACATTATGCTTGTCTTCTCACTCACGACTTTTAGGCTGTTCTTCCCTTACAGTCTCGAGGGGTTCGACGGGATCCTTAATTTTCTACAGCGAGTCAGCAAGAGGGAGGCATATCAAAGGGCTATAGCCAAGAGCGATCCCGGATTTCAGCCTCCTATGTCAGGCAACCCTCCAGCTCGACACGGTGTATAGCCGTAGCTTTGTTTGTTTGTTTATTTACATAGTCCAAGGAACGATTCGCCCTTGAGGTTCATGCACATGTATCTCTACTCATTTCAATGAAATTTCATCGCCTACAACGTGCGCGTAAAATCACGAAGACGTTAATACTAACTATGGTGTATCTGTGCAAGCAAGGTCTGTTAGTCTTCCGTCGGTGTGCCTGGTTGCAAGATCGACACCCACAACGTAGCATGCTCTCGGCAAGTCGCCCCAGCTCTAAAGCGATCCGCACTAACTAGTCAGATCGGCTCAATTGTATATGGATTCCACGATACTTGCACGGAGATATAGATATTGTCGAACCGATGCATAGACGCTCTGCGGCGGTGGTGGACACTGGGCTCTAGTATACCTCCTCTGCTACTACTAGGTTGTCCGAGAATGCGCAAACGCCGGCTGCATCAGCACTAACAATATACATGTAACCATCCAGTCGAATTGGACCAATCTTGCATTTGGAAATCAATCGGAGGCTGCAATCGGTACGTCATGACGGCAGTCAGGATCATCGAAGGATTTCGTCGCATCAGTTGCAGCCAGTGACCTGTCGTGGTGGGTTTCATCGGTGGCGTTCTAAGGGTTTTGGACTTGAATCCTTCGAAACTACTAGATCCTTCAACTGCCGCTAGCATCCGCATGGCCATTGCTGTGGATTGCTGGGTTGGTAAGCAGTGACTAGGTTTCTAGCAATTATGCACCAATATTACTGTGCAGTATGATGATCTCCCACGTATTTGAACAACGTCACAGTAACCCAAACCACAGCCTATGGGCACAGCAAACATTGAGACAGTGAACGGATGGCGCTGATTGGGCAACGCTATTTTGTTCTTACGGGGTAGTGTCTCACTATAGTCTGAAGTAAGGACTGGTCATCCCTGAGGCTCATGATGCCGAGAAGTGCCTGGCGCCAATTCCCCTTGGAAGACATCGCACACGCAACAACTGCGCTCCTCTTTAGCTGCGCGTGATCATGGCGGTGTTAGAATTAGAGAGACGACGCGAGGAGAAGAGAGGATGTAGGTAGGGTTTCTTTGCATTTCTGCCCAGAGATGTTGCGATGCCAGGAGGCCACAAGATCTGTGCTAGACATGCATAGCGGGCATGACGACTGAATGTCGACTGCAGTGCTTGAGCATAGTCTGTCTTGTGAGAAGTGGCATCTTGGCGTTGTCATTAGTCTCTTGGGAGAAGACGTGACCTTCCTTCCTCGTTAGCCATTGGCGGTTCTTGGCGAATCCTGAAGCTCCAAGGCGACGCAGTTGCTTCTAGGTATGTCGTGTGCCAATGTTTCTGGTCTGAAAAGCTACCACTTGGAGGTCGGCATCACCGACACTAGTATCAAATCGTTGACTATCTCGGCGCATGCATAGACGAGGATGGAGTATATAAGCCCTCGGTCGCCTCGCCCCAGGAAAGCGTTCTTTTTCGACTTATCAATCACTGGCCTTAAACAAAGCACCTCAAACACTCGCCGAATCATCATCAGATCAGCTGTACGCACTCACAGTCTTCGTTGCTTCCCTTTCTACCTATACACAATGCCCGGAAAGATTCCAATACTCACTGCTGCACTCGTCGGCTTGACCCATGCCCAGGAATGGTTCTGGGTACCCCCAGGCCTGACAGGCACATTCTGCAACGGTCTGAGCCGACCTGATTGGGATGAATGCGAGGCCAAGTACGTCGACGACTTGATCAACACCGAGCTGCATATCGGTCCTGATTTTGGCGATGGTGTCACCTTCACCTACGAGAATTGCGAGATGAAATACGTTCAGTGCACTTCATCTGGCTACGAATGGGTCGAAGAGAACCCAGCTTTGTTTGCGGGCCTCAAACGACAATGTGGCGCTCTCGACGCCGCTGGCGTCCAGCGACAAGGAGATCTCTGCCTAGTCGTCCAAGACCCTAAGAACCCCTTGACCGGGGACGAAGCCCGCAAGCGGGAGACTACCAAGCAGGGTGAACTTGTCACCCAGCCCGCGTGGCCTGCCTCGCAGGAAGAGTCCGATGAAAGTGGTGATGGTGGCTCAGATAAGGACAACTCGAAGCGCGCCCATCCCAGGGACATGGGCGTGGCCCGAGATCTCGTCGAAGAGTCTGCATCTCTGGAGCGCCGTCAAGAATGCTCGGGCGGAGGCACCTGCTACAGCTACGACCAGTCCGGCTTTGCTGTCAACATTCGCGGCCCCAGGGAGTACGTGTGCAACGACGTTCTCCCTAACGGCGGTTCGTGCTCCAAGACGAGGTCCGTCACTGTTACCGAGACATACACTGTTGGCCTCGATGTAACTGCTGGTCTCAAGGATGCTGTTGACATTGGCGCGTCCTTCTCCTCCGAGTATAGTGAGGCGGTCGAGACATCGCTGAGGACTACTATCACCATCGACTGCCCGGACAACGGAAGTGGATATATCGTGTGGTATCCCCTTATGCAAGTCTCTTCCGGGCAATGCAACAAGGGAACATGCAGTGGTGGATACTGTCTAGGGGACGAGTTTGACTATTGCACGATTCGAAGACCTACACAGCCAAGCGAGGGTACACTCAGTGGAGAGTATGATTATATCTGTATTTAACTTACTACAAATTAACTAGTGGCATTGTCGGAAAAAAAGGATGGATCCCACACTTGGTAGTATAGGATACTCAAGTAAACGAAAGCTTGATACTTCGGAATTTCACAAAGAGAATTAAGATTGAATTGAATGCTACTTATGTATGCTCAACTATCACGGCTTCTGATGTGGCACGTCTACATTTCCCTTATCATTGTAGGTAGTGCGACGTCTTGGGATGATGTGCTAAAGCAAGAGTGTCTAAGCGACTCCAGGTGTCTGTCTGAAACTAGATTTTTGGGGGGGCTAGACCGACAAAGACCCTTTGATCATATGTCTTGATCTAGGGCGCCTAAAATAGCCAAGCTGAAATTGAAGCCACTAGTACCCATCCAAATATCTATGGTGGTGACAGCCCGACATATTGAATAGACTGTTCGCGCCCAGGTCAGTCTTTGAAGCTGGATCGCAAAGATAGCGCTAGACGATCACTAATCCGGGGAGAGCACAGTCGGCTCGTAAAGCACATTTAGCCTCTCCACTTAGGTCCATTTGTCAATGTCGCTTGCATGCTCTGAACCGTCGCTGACTCGTTGGGACAGCTGATGCGTCACCCAAGACAGTCAAACCAGGTCCTTTTCCGTGATAAGGAAGTCAGGACGGCCCTGCTCATGGTGCTTTCAACATGAATCTAGTTTTGTTTCAGGAGATTCGATTGTGTCTCCGGTGCTTGCTTCAATGTGTGATGTAGGACATGGTATACCAAGGAATTCTTCTTTAATTTACGTCTGCTACGACTTGGCAACTTGGTCAAAATCTCAAAAGTTTTTCTGGATCCAGCTTCCAAGTTGCCCGATTCCTCCAAAGTAAATCGGGCATCCCCAGGCACATGGGCATTGCAGCTAGACCGCGCATGGCATTTGTCGCGGTCGGGACAAGGACATCGTAGTCTAGCCATAGCTGCTGATTTCGGATTCCCAGCAGGCAACATTTTTAACAACGCAATTGATCTTGCACAAACTTGGGCTTATGACAATAGAAGACATTGTTGAATTGGATTTACTAGACAGGGGGTTCGTCAGTCGCCTCCGAAGATTGCCATTGTCGTCCAGGTTCCACGATAACAGCTGGGGCTGATCCAGCGTAGTAGTCTGCTCTGCCACCGTCGACCGTGATTTTCCTCGGCAACATCCCCCGCTGTGTGGCTTTTGATAGTTAGTTCTCGAATAGGTGTTTGTTTAGGTGTTTGTTTGCAAAAGGGGGGGGGAAGGGGTGTGTGGGTGTGACCCTGCGACGCGCGATCAGGATTTAGGAGTCAGGACCCTGCTTGGCTTGGCTGTAAGTCGGCTGCACAGCCGCATATTTCGCTAATCAGATGCCGACGATCTCTAAACTCGCTCTACAAAGCCGCCGTGACATTATTGGACAGCACTTCGGGAACAAGGCTCGCTCGAATCGACCACTGTCCGCACATCGACTCGACGTACTCGGTACTTATCCATCTAATCGACAGTTCCTTCCATTCCCTCACCAGGCTATGCATTCCCCAATTCTTCTCTACAATTCGTACACTTGCGAGGCATTCTCCTCGAATCAAACAGTGCACGCACCGACTAGAGTGCGACGCGCGACACGTCTAGTTCGATCGCGCCAAACTGGCCGCGCTACGATCATGTCGTCTTGGAATCCCTCCAGTCGAAGCTGGCAGGTCACAGGCGCATCTACCGCGATGAACCCGGACGAACATGCGTCGCTCAGATGACCTCGTCGGCGTCTTCCCAAAGTCCGGCGTGTCGCATGCCCGTCTAGGCGATCCGATCACTCGGAAGACCTCCCATAGACCATTTTCGCCCATGGGCCGCGGCCCGTACACAGGCTGTCCCAGTACTGGAAGAGCAGCTCCGGGTCGGCCTCCTAGACAATCTTTTCCTACTCCCACATCGACTCTACTGTTTCCCAGATCACTTTCAAATGTATGATCTGATGCTGGCCAATGATCCGTTTCGGATGCCCCCTCTTCAAAATTTGAACCCTCTGCATCTCAAACGTGAGATCTAGATGAGGTCCTGTGTGCTGACAAGTGTCCGGACGACTTCTTGCTCGTGCTAGTCGGGGTTGAAATTTAGCTTATCCCCTCGCGGCCTCTATTCGCCATGCGGGACAATTTCGGATACGCTCGTCTGCGCCCTGGTTGTATCGCACCGCATAATGATATAGCGCTTCAGCGAAGGGGCCTGTCATTAGTCCAGCCGGTATTCGCTGGTCGTCACCGACCCAACTACTAATCAGCCCCTCAGCGGCTTGACTATGGGAGAGCGGACGGGATCCCGTATTTTCCACTGGGTATGGTCGTATGTGGTTGTGGAAGCCATTATTGGCAACTCTAACAGAAGTACTTGCTAGCAATCTACAGTGTTCTGTTCAAGAGCCATGGTTCCATCCGTCGGGCACATCTTACGTATATACAGGCTTTGTCTGGGAGACGGCAATCATGTCCACGTGCACTCCAACTTCCAGGAGCGCGATCACTTTCAGCCGATGCTTGCCGACAGGCCCTTTGCCATGTGTCCGTTTGTGAGTCCAACGGCATCAGTCGTCACCCCGCCAGCTTTCCAATGCCCAACAATCTGCGTGTCATTCTCTCCCGTCGATTCAAACACCGTGCCTCCAGCGTCTCAGAACGATGAAATGACCCTGGTCCATCAATTTCCAACATGATGAGGAGTGTTTGCGCAAATGCGGCGTGGCCGCGCCGGAAACCACGATTGCTGACTGAGGGATATTAAGATACCACGATGCTAAGGCATCCCGGCTATCTAACCCTAACCGTTCTCGAACAACAGCTCCTTCCAGTGGCAAGGCAATATGATGATGCGTTACTGGGACCGTTTGGCATGCGATCATGTCTCTATCAATCTTATCCCCAGCCATAGTCAGTAGACCGCGAGGGTTTTGTTTTCCATCGTGTCGAGGAGTCGGCAAACGTTCCGCTGCGTCTAGTGCCACCTACCCGGAAGCATTGGGTGTTATGAACAGAGCTATCGCGCGAGTAACTCCTCGTCTGCACAAGGCAGGCGACTAGAGAACCATGTATTCAGAGCTATACACTAGCTCAAATTTTGTCTAGAAAGGCAAGCTGGGAAAGCATAGGTAATTTCTTTCCCTATATTATGAAACCACGATACGGATGTAAGTTATGTTGCGCGTTTTGGCTGCGTGATGGCTACCCTAGAACTTCGTGGTTTCTGCTGTCACTCTCATGTCTGTCCGAGTAGGCATATTTACGCTCAGGAACTTATTAGTTTTCACTCTGGTTTGTATCCTTTATTCTTGTTTATGCTGCCCAAGCTACGGATTTGGTTCATGGGTGAGATTTAAGTAAGCTTGTGCGGGGGACAAGATGTGAGCCTGTGTCAAACGTAAACTGTGTATTTGGTGAGTCCGGCATAATGTTTGAGCTGTCAATCTATCACACGTCCCAAAAAAAAGGAAGAAGAAAAGAAGAAAACGCGTGGTGCCCAAGTTAATCGTTCTACATCAAGCCCGTGAAGGCGTACCTACGAGCCCAAACATGTCGAAGCTCCAAGTTTCTATTGAGGTTCGGTGAAAGCGTGTGACACAATGCCTGTAGCCTGTAGACAATTACTGTGGAGACAGACAAACAGCGGAGCAGAATCCCCGGCTCCGCTGGTACAACGAGCTCTGGCAATCTCGACTCTGCCAATGTCGCACATTTGGCATCCTTAGAGACACGCCGCACGAGCGCAAAGTTTGACAGAACCCTGTCGCCCCGGGCGCCCATCATCAGCGTGGTGACCGGCGGGTTCTCGCCATTCGACCCCCTCGACCGCCACGCCCGCACAGCCGGCCGCGAAAGCCCGACGCCCTCCATGACATCGATGACCCAGTCTCCAATATTCGGCAGGTACTTGAAGGGGTGGCCGCTGCCGCCCGTGGCTACCATGAGGCCCTGTGGACGTGGTACCCGATCGACGACAAAGTGATTGTCAAACATATCTATGTACCAGCAGATGCGCGTCTTGGCAATGGCAATAGCAATGCCCTCGCTCGCCAGCTCCGGCATGTGCACGTCGAGGAGGCGGTCGATGACGCGTCGGGCCTGCACGGGAAAATTGGTCAGCCTCTCGCAGACAGGATGCTGGCTGTCACGGTGAGGCGTGTGGGATGTGAAGGAGGGCGACGCTGCCGGCTGTCGCCTCACACAGACCGTTGAGCTGGGGAAGGAGGACGGGCGTTAATCTGCCACAGGCCAGGACGGCCAAGGCAGCACTGCGCGTCTTGCCGTTGCGGGTCCTTGTGCCCAGGACGCGTCGAGCGTTGTCTTTGGTGTCGTCGTCGGTCTCATGGCCGTAGAAGAGAGCTCAGCGCCTCGCAGGGCTGCCTGTCAAAGACGGTGACGTTGCGGTAGCCGCGTCGGGCCACGCGAAGGGTGGTGCCGAGGCCAAAGATGCCGCCGCGGGACGATGATGATGGCTGTTGTCGAGATTGTCCCGACGGCCATACGCGGCCTGCTCGCCTCCTGGTGCAGCGTCGTCATGCTGCTCTCCCTCTTCCGCCTAGGAAAAGAACCACTTCCATGACGCCTCGCGCGGCATCGCCATCGTCTCCATCCTCCGTGAGGCCTTCACCGTCCCTGCCAACCTCCGCCGTATCTAGCAGTCCCTCGTCTCCTACGCCCTCGCCCAGCTCTCCGCCGCCAACTTCGTCACCTCGTACTTCGTGCCCATTCTCTCCCTCATGGGCGTCAGCGGCGATACCTCGCGCAGCCCGTATTTTTGTCCATTGTGGATATTGTTTCCGATCGTTGCCTTGTGCTGGTCACGTCCCGTGATTCGGCATGCATGAGCTTGATCATTCTTACTGCGCATTTGCCCTGTTTGCTATGCTATCGCTATTGTCCTGGTCTTGCTGCTGTCTGTCACATTCGTGGATCGACACCATTCGTGGATCGACACCAACATGAGGAAAAGAGACCGGCCCGCCTCCAGTTTGACGACCTGCCTTGATTTCGCGGACGGGTGAGTTTAGCTTTCCCATCGGGAAGGCTTCCTAAGACGTGGAGTGTCCATGGCCTATCGAGACGGAGGAGGTCTTCCGAGCCACTATGTACCAACGATTCTCGTACTCCAACCCCGAAGATCCATGCATCTCCATGCAAAGTACTTCAAACCCAGCCGAGCAGATCTGGTTCACGAGATCACCGGCCGGAAATACATTAACATACGGAGCCTTCCCAACCATTTGCATAATAGGCAGAACCACCCAGGGGAGGAGCACGTTCATATCGCCCACACAGCCAGTCTTGGTGATAAACAGACCACCATCCTTGAGCATTGTGTACACGCTTTGCAAAGTGGTAGGCAAGTCGCGTACTAGGTGAAGGTAGTTAAAGCCGAGGATAACATCGAAACAAGGGTTCTCGGCAGCGAGCGACTCGGCGCTTGCCGCCCGAAAACTCAGCGCGTGCAACCCGACCGCGTTGCTATCTTCATGTTGCTTTTTCTCCTCGCAGATTTTGGTCATTTCAGGAGAGATGTCGGTCGCTAGATACGACTGCACATGTCGAGCTAGCAAGAGCGCCGTGGAGCCTGTCCCGCAGCCCAACTCCAGGGCGCGGTCGGTGGGCTTAAGGAGACTGCGCGTACGGTCTAGGGTTCGCTGGTATCCTGCTTGATCCGAGACTTTGGATTTTGCGTACGAACGGGCGGTCTTGTCCCAGACCCTCGTGTCCGCCTCTAAACTCATGATAGGGATGGTAGTGCTCGTAGGTAGTGGGTTGAGATTTTCTTGGTCGTGTGAGCGAGAGCCACGAAGTGTCAGCTCATATTACTTGCATATTCTTGAATCGCCGTATCCGGTGCTGCCGAGATAATGGCATGTGACGAGGCCTGTCACGCGGCGGCATTGGCGCAGCTCCGTACTGTCGTGTCATTGGTGTTTCCCGGCTTACTTCTTCAGCTCGTGCGGCTGAGGAGGAGGGGCCAAGGGGGCCTCTTACGCGGTGTGATTTTGATGAGCGGTGATGAGAGCCAGGCGGTCGCAGCAAGTTGTCGCTTCGACCACATCAGTTTTTGGTGCCCCTCGCGCGCGCTATAAAGCGGGATCTGGTTAGGTAAATAGCTCCAGGAGTTCGGGAGGAGCCTGTGAAAGGAGACATCGACCTTGTTCTTCAAATTCTCCGGTACCGAGGCCACGGTGCTCGATAACATGGAAACCGTCAAAGGTCTTGTTAATCCCTTCCGGCCGGACGCGTTCTAGTTCGCCGAAAGCAAGCAGGAGCAAGATTCAAGTTCCCTTTGGTCTGCGCGCTGCTGATGTCCGCGAAGCTGTTCCCAATCTCGACAATTCCTTGCTGCTCCGATAAGCCGCATGCCAGGAAGGAACAGCGGCTGATTTAGCTGATCACGTGTGTCGTATTATACCTGGGTAGTTGAGGACTATTGTAGCGGTGTCGTTTTCCTTGGGCGTAAATTAGTGAGTGAATTGGTACAGCGACCCCTCGACTAACGAGAAAACGTTAGCTTGCTTCGGCCCTCGGGCCAAAGCGTGCTATCCCTCAACACTGAAAGTAGCTTTGGTCTTTGGCAAAGCACTGTTATCTAGGAAGTTGCTCGTCAGTTGTGAGATTCTAGTCTGACAGCCACAATCCGTAAAGGGGACTCTTGGGTGGCATACGAGCGTCGCCGGCGAAGACAAACTCTACTTGGTGCGACTCGGTCACTCCTTCGTGGAGGGTTTTGGCTGATCTCAATCTTCCATAGCAGTCTAGACATCGTAAATCAGCGACAACAGTCGTGTGGAGAGCCGCGGACTCGGTGGCGTCTTCGCCCATACACCTAAGAATTGTCTTTTTGTGTACAATGCTTGACGGCAACGCCAACGCCCGGCCAGTGCGGTTGGCCTCTTCCGAGCATATCATAGAATTAGAGTCATAAAACGCATATATTGTGAGGGTAGTTTACTCCTGAAATTCCCTGAGATTCCTTCGCAGTCGAGCAACAGATCGAGACGATGTCGAAGGGCGTGGGGAGGGTCGAGAGGGGCTTTTGTCCTGATCACAATCGTTTCAGGGTGAAATGCGCTCTCATTGCCCACTATCACTCACGCAAATCCCCAGCAGCTCATTCTGGAACGCGGTCGATGCTACGGCTCTGGATAGTCCTGGCCGCGCCTATCTGCGCGCCTTCATCTCGAAGTCCAAGCCTGCCCTGGCTCGCACGCCACTGGACGAAAGAAGCCCTTGAGCCCAGGGCCACTAATAGTTTCCACTGAGGAGGATACAGCTTCTGGACAAAAAATGGGCTGCGACACAGTGCAAAGAGTTTTAGAGACTTTTTCTGTCTAAGAGCCGCTGAATCTTCGTGTCACATCCGACAGGCAGTCCCATGAAAGTCGTGTTGGCGGCCAGCTGTAGGGGAATCAGCAGCTTTACATGGCAATATGACGACCAAGACAGAAAGAGAGGGAGAATCTAGTACTTTAAGTGACGATGCGGGATTCTGGGTCTATCACTTCCAAGGTAAGCGCTGGAAACCACCAACACACTCATCGGACTTACTGGACCGACACCGACTGCCTGCCCTTGTTTGAGGTCTTTCTCGCCACAACTTGTCAAAGCAGGTCGCAGCATCATTTTGAGGATACTGGGACATCTCGCGTTTGTTCTTTCTGCACTGATTTGGGTGCAGCCGCAGATCGCTCTGGTCAAAGCCCCGGTCCAAGTCAAGCTTCGCCTTATTTGTGACGGCGCTGGGCAGCATGGCCCCGGAAAGCTTCCCGGTAGAGCCTTGGCCGTTTTGGAAGCACCGATCTGGCGGATGTTTGTCTCCCTAAGTGGGAGTTGTCCTTGTTGGTGTCGGCACTGGGCGATGATGGCTCCGGGAATCTTCATGGTAGAGCCAAGGGCGTTCTGCAAGCCCTCAATTGACGCATAATTGACTTTGAAAGGCGAGCGCCGAAGCCTATGGGTGAATAGACACCAAAGCCAGCGGTGTGTTCGACACTGTGGTCGCCACTGAACGTGAAGACAATGGGCTTAGGGCTTTTGTGTTCTCTGGAGCTCGCATCAAGACGCACCAAAGTCAATTGTATGGTCAGCGCCGAACATGAAGTTCTGGGATCGAGAGTTCGGGGCTCCTTTGTTCCAAAGCACCTGATTGCGTAATAGCCTTAAACGCCAACAGGTTGGGATAGACAACGGTATCTGTGGACCCGAACTTGGTCGCGGCAATGCTGCTACTCATGCCCAAACACTCCCCCGGCGTTCTGCATGGGTCGTCGCCGATTTTGCCGGTGTGATCCCGTATGCTTTACACGTACCAAGGTTCCGAAAGCCCACTTGCACTAGTTCTATGCCACTGACGTGCAGCAAATGATTTCGACAATTGTTCCCGGGGTTGATCGTGGTTTGGCAATCAAAGAACGCTCGGCATTCGAGATGGTAGCCTTTGACGCCGTTAGCAGGAACTCAATCTGGCCGAGGCTTGCACTCACCTGCTGCGTCACCAGCACGATACAGCCTGCATGGTGTCATGAGAAGCGAGGCAGCCATGGAAAGTGAGCGCTCGAACTCGGTGACAAAAGGCAAAGTGAGGACGCGAGGCGTATGGGTCAGACCAAGTGAGCTGTGGAACGTCTCAGAGGCAATGTCGGATAGGACAAAACGGCCAGCCTCAGCGAGTCGCATGCGAGGCTGGCGAGAGTCGGCCAGCGGTTTCATCCAACCTGGGTGGTGGCAGAGTATGGCGGCGTTCTTAACGAGCTCTCCGTGCAATGTGCGCTTGGAACGGGCCAAGTGCTCTGGGCGCGCGGCCAGCTCCTTTTTTGTGACATGGCTTCAAAAGGCCACAGGCGCTGTGCACTAACGGCTCCTGTTTCCCGCATCCTGTCCGATGGAGTGTCCTTTGACTTAGTGACAAAAGCTTGTCAATACAAGCGGATGAGGGCAAGAGTGTCAGGTGGCTTGCTCGCGGTGAAGAGAACAACTAGTCGTGGCGACAGCTTCCGGCTAGACTCGACCTCTCCGCGAGCTCCCCTGACCGCGATCAGTGCTCGACCCTCAGCTGCCACGCCCGTCGGAAGATGGAGTTAGCCATTTAGCTGAAATCCAGTCTCCTCAATATGCTCGTCTGTTTCTCCTCTAATTCTGGGTCTTCCTCGTCGTACGTGATAAACAACAAGTATGCATTCGAATAGTCGGGTCTCTTTGCGGACACGGACCGCGGCGTCGGTGAAGATTTCCTGCGATCGTCCCTTGGGCGAGAGTAGCGGCCGAACTAGGTACAACAGACCTTCCGAAAATTGGCAGATGATCTCCTCTTCGTCGCTTCGGTCTCTTGAACTTTGACCGCGGGTTGGGTAGAGCCAAACAAGGCTGGTGGTCAAGGATGTCAGCGCCAGAGCAGGGGAGGCGTTGAAGAAGCAGCTGATTCGAGCAGGCAAATGAAACAACTGAACACGCAGTATTGCATTGCACGCATTCTTGAGGCACTCGGTGTCGCGCGTGACCGCTGAACCAAGTCTTCTTGTCGACTTAGGCAACATCCGACCAAACTCATGAGGAGTGGCAGTCGACCGGGCGCAGAGCAAACCATTGAACTGTCGTAGACGTCAAAGCTGCTTTGAATTTTGCGCACACTCAAGTGCCATGAGGCATTTGGTCTTTGTCGAAATAGCAATAGTCCACGTCGTCGACGGCATGGGCATTGAGCCATGCCTTAGCTTGGGGGTTATTCGGTGGGATACTGTCGGCGGTACGACCTCTTCTAGAGGAGTCATTGCTGCACAGCGTCCGTGAATTTGAGCTCGACTCAGACGTACTTTTGACGGCTTTCATGTCAAGTGGTAACAGCCCACTTTAGTCGGCCTGTCGAGTTGAATTGTTGACTGCCTCGAGGTGGCATCTCAAACCAAAACCACCGGGCGAACGACGAGTCAGTGGCGAGAGTGTCAGTGCGTCTTGAGTCCTTGTCCATGGTCGAAGACCTCACCACTGGGGCATGTATGTGTCTTAATGTCGCATCCAGCACCTCGTCATCAAGAGCAGTCTTGGATCGACTCCTGATGGGCCATGGCTTTTGCAGCTTGCGGCTTGCGGCTCCAGGGAAGCGATGTGTTTGAAGCTGGCGTCGCGACACCATTTCAGCAGTCCAAATGCTTTTTAGATTGAGTGCGAGGGGAATGTACGAGCAGAGGGGCCTTGGGTGAGTGAGGCATGTGCAGCAAAGTTGCAGACTTTCCGTTGTGTCAATCCCAAGGCATGGATGCTTTGGACATGGGCTTGCCAAGACTCCTGGGACTAAACCGTGAATGATCCAAGAGCCAGGGCCAAGCTTCTCCCGGTCGTTTGTTGATGGCATCCGAGGAAGAGTCTTTTTGAACAGGGTCTGGTGTCTGGCCAGTCGTGGTCGGGGACGCATCCTCGGATGAGCTCACGTCTTGGGCATTCAGATGTAGGATGTGTCGGAGCGGACAGTCGAGGTCTTGTGTCTGGTGAGTTGAACAGCTGTAAGCCTAGGATGGGCAGCTCTTGGGCGTTTGTTAAGTGTTGAATTGTGACTGATGAAATGTCCGTGCCGTGCAGTGTTTAGTGACGGCCCTGGCGGCGGCGAGCGGTGTTGACAGTCTAACGGTAGAAGTCATTCTCCGCTACAAAGACTCAGCTGCATTTCATCGGCGCAAGAAAGTAGTATCTCGAAGGACATAACGACTCATGGGTATGTGGAATACCTTCAAGTGCTGTGTGG